TATGGGGAAAAAATTTAAAAAATACCTCTTAAAGTATTATTTTTCGTGTAATTACATTTAAAAGTACTTAAGGAATAACTTAAACACAATCTCATATAGATAGTTAGTTTCTGCCTGTTTTTCCAAAGTAATTATCGTTATTTTTATGAAAAAAAAGGTTTCGGGCTGAAGCCCCCCCAAAATTAAATCCTGGATCCGCTAGTGATTGCAGAGCAAGATCGAAGTGGCACAGGACTAGATACCCATCAGATAAGACATATTACAACAGATAAGACATATTATGTTCCTACCTTACTGACAGATACTTCAAAGTCAATCATAACAATGCTTATTCATCTCTTTTTATTCAGTCTGCCGGTGTTCCTCAAGGTAGTATCCTAGGTCCTATCACCACCTATGCCGATGACACGTGTATCCTATCAGTTAATAACGATCCTTTAATTGCATCCCAACTCTTCAATCACATATCACAAGCCTTGAAGAATGGTGTAAAAATTGTAGAATAAAAATAAATTCCAACAAATCCCATCAAATCACCTTTACCCTCCGTCGTAAACCTATCACCTCTTGTCCTACAGTATCCTTCAATAATACTCCACTTATTCCTGTTGAGCAAATCCGCTACTTAGGACTCCACCTTGACAAACGAGTATCACTTGGAACCCCCATACCAGACTGAAACGACTAGAAACCGCCCGACGTTTTTCACTACTGCAGCACTTACTAGACAAACGATCTAAGCTTTCAATCAATTATAAACGACTCGTATATATGACAATAATAAGACCTATTTGGACTTACGGAATTGAGCTTTGGGGCTCCACTAAACCATCGAATTCCTCTCGTATCCAATCCTTACAATCCAAAATCCTTCGTAAAATCCTCAACGCTCCTTACTTTGTCACAAATAAAATCATCCATAAAGACCTTAATGTTCCATATGTTTCCGATCTGGCCCAATCCACATACCATTCCTTCCATAACAAACTGCAGAACCATCCGAATCCTCTCGTTTCAAACCTTGCTTCCTCCTCGATCCCTGATAACCCTCCGAGGCGCCTGAAAAGAAGATGGCCTCGGGATCTTCTAATATAGAACTTTAATTTGAGTTCTACCAATGGGTAGTTTCTCTTCATGTTGTACATGCCATGTTACCAATTTCTCATTTACTTATTGTATTCTCTATGCAATACAGTTGTAAATTCCATTAAAATAATTAAAAAAAAAAAAAAAAGGTTTATAATTTTTGGCATGAGAGTAAAATCTCCGGAAGAAGCCGTTTTAGCAAATACAATTATCTCTGAACATTCGTGGATTTGTTATCCACAAATTTCGTTCGTCAGTGAATATTAAAACGGGGAAGGGTTCTATATTTTAAAATTACGAATTGATGATTTGTGAGTAAATAAAAAAAATCCAATACATATTAAACAAGTATCTCTCTACTGTTAGTGAAAAAGGACATATGAAAATATTGCTTGTTTTACGGGAGAGTATACAAACTAATTATTCTCTTAACAATAGTTAGTATAATTTTATATTTTATTTTCCTCTGTTATATTACACAGTAGCAGATTCCCTATATTAGTTGCAGGCAACAAAATGTTATCTTTAGCAAAAATAGAATATAATTGGTAAAATTTTATATACCATATTTTGCACTAACAGTACCGTTATATATTTAATATGGCATGTGTCCATTCGTAAAATGTATGGAACAAAAAATTAATAGGTATAATTCAACTTTTTGTTTGTTGGGAGTTTAGCAGACCAATACTTTTCTTGTGTCAAAACAATATAATTAAGCTGGAATATAAAAATATGTGTGACGTTCACACAACTTTGATATTTAAAGATGAAATCGAGACCAAGACGAGCTCGTTGTACTTCAATAGAAATAAACAGAATCATAAATAAGATATTTTTTTTTAATAACTAAATAAAATAAAAATGAATTTAAATTTATTGAAAATTATACGAAATCTAAGTTACGGCAGTATCATGCCAGTAACGTTTGGAGTCAACCAAACAATACATTATAAATTAATCTTTTGTATAAAACCTAAAATTTTGTAACACCATAACAATATTGTCTTGATCTAACTCCCCCTGTATATGATCAATGCGTTCCACATATCACAGCCATTATATTGTTAACAATTATTTATTTTTATTAATAAATGGAATTCAATGAAATTGATACTAGATAATTTCTATACTATTCTCTAAACTTCCTCCAAGTTTGGGTCAAATTAAACGAGCAGTTTTTGAACTAATGGCATGTCAAATAATGCATTTCCTGGTGTGAAAGCAGAAGTATTTTTTTGAAGTGCTGGATTGAATTTGATAAAATTGTTATGGGACCATCTAGACACCTACCCGCACAATTCCTGAAAATTTATTGAAAATTGGATAAATGGTAGTAGGTGATATGCCCGTTATACCGATTTCATTACAGACTTACAGACACCGAACACAAATATTTTTTTAACCTCTCGCCAACCTTTATAGTTGGCCTATAAAATCGTGGACTCTACGGTTTCCTTTGCTAAGTTACTCGGGGGTAAGGGACACGACTAATGAATGTGAGGCCCGGCCGGAACCCAACCTGAAGTACCTAACCCTCAACAACCTAACCAATATCAAATCTCGCATATTCCCCCACCGTCTAATGCCACAGATCTTACAAGTTTATTTACATCCTTCCTTATTGAATTTAAATCCCTTGTTACCCAATTATACAACTCCTTATAAACCTGGTATATCATATCATTCCTCCTTTAAATAATCCTTAAATGACTCCCATCAAACCCATATCCATTCTCCTATGGAATGCGAATGGTGTTAGAAATCACACATACACACTAACAGCCTTACTATTAGACAAAAACATCGATGTAGTCCTCATTACAGAAACTCGACTGACCAAAAAACCGATATTAAAAATACAGCCTTTAACGTATCAGACAGCTCATACGAATTCTCGTAGTCGAACATTGCTGTCTACACTCAATTCCCAAAGTTTTACCCTCCTTCCACCTAATTCATCTACTAATTCTACTGGCCTGCTGATCCTAACCATAATCCCGATATCCTCAACTTTTTTATCCGCAATGGTTTAGGTACCCTCCACCATTCTCTTCCACGTCTTAATGAGCTTTCCTTATACCACAGCCCATTAATACTCCAAGTATCATTAGCTCCTATTCCTAAACCCTCTCCACTATCCTTCATCAGAGGCCCAGTTAACTGGAAACTCTTTTATAAAATCCTTTGCAATAAAATTTACCTCAGAGCAACCCTAAAAACTCGAAGACCTGGACAATGCCGTTTATTCCTTTAACTCTAAAATCCAGGAAGCAGTCTGGACGGCTTCCTCTCCTGATCATTCATCAAGAAAGCCAATTTACCTCAACACTTACTTGACCTAATCCATATAAAACGCCTTGCCAGATTATTATGGCAACGTACCAGACATCTACCGACCGCAACTCTTACAATTATTACTATAAAAAATTAAAATAAGAATTAGCCACCTTGAGATCCCGATTATTTAATTCCTACCTCACCTCCCTCTATGGTCATGATAATTCCATCTGGAATACCATGAAAAAAATCCTGAAATTCCATTATATTTTCTCTTCCCCTTCGTCGAGGTGATGGTTCCTGGGCAGCGTCTGATGTAGACAAAGCCGAAGAATTCGCCGAACACCTTTTCTATACCTTCAATCCTCATCCGTAATCTCATCCCTCCCACGCAGTAAAAGTAGAAGAATTCCTTTCTTCACCTATTCCACTCTCCTTACCACCTAATCCCTCTGAGGTCAAATACCTATTTTGCAAAATCGCTCCTCGTAAATCTTCTGGATACGACCTTCTACCCCCACAGATCCTTTTTTCTCCTTTATTCGATTATCCAATTCTTTCAGAAGTTATACTTAACATTTTTTCGTGACTCTTTACAATGAGAGATAGTTAAGTATTTAAAATAAACCAAATTAAAGGTACTTTAGCGGAAGATATGTTGAAAATTGGGCATTTAAACCCTATAAAGTTACATCACTGGGGAAGAGACCTAAATTATATTGAAGACCACTTAATTATACAATGATAAATTGAGATTAATAAAAATATTTAGAGCCGTCTTTGATAAAATCGTAAAGATGTGTATGACTGTTAATATAATGTGGCACTTCCGGTTATCCGATTTTATGGAAAAAGCTGCTGTAGCATCTCATGTATATACCTATTTTCGTTGAAAACTCAGGTTCGAAAATGGGTTAACGCGTGTACACAGCACTATGAGTTGCTCGGCAACCAGTTAACCAGAGTAATGAGATATTAAAAAAGGACGAGTTCGCGTTCCGGTGCAGGGAGGGATTTTACTCCCCCTCACCACTCCCCCTCCTCCCTATAGCCTAAAAGGCGAGGAAAAGGAGGGCCACAAAAAAAATTGTAAGCAAAAGTAAAAAAATGAACATCTCTACGTTTCATGTAAATAAAAGAAATATTAATTAGCATTTAAACTTCATTACGAAGAAATGAACATCTGTAAATCGTAACTGTTATTAAGAGACCTTAAGAGTCACAGAATAAATATTATTTTCTATTCTATTCTATTATAAAATCAGTCAATTTAACTGACTTTTTTTACAGAAGAGCATAAGAAAAAATCTTTTTTTTCTTCATGATTTATTTGTATAATTTCATTTTATATTTTCCTGGGCTATTTTCCTATTTAGCAGACTACTTATAGTATAGTAGTATATAGTATAGTTATAAGCTAAAAAACGTCACCTTTAGGCCAAAGAGAATAAACATGTAAAATGGTTATATACGATCTTTTGATGACTGTAGCGATATGTCTTTGCGTATAATTGTTATTTGATACAATAGTCATATTATAGGTAATTAAATTATTTTATTCATTCATTAATATTACTCTGTCGATAATAAATGTAGGAATTTATTGCACTTCGATAGAATTGACGAAACACATACGAATAAAAAAGATAACCTTAAAGAAGCTGCAAATAACTAACACCCATTCGAGTAAGATGAGTGCCAACAGCTAAATAACTTAATTACCTCACTGTAGCAAAAGTCAATAGTTATTTCGGAAATACAAAATCTCATATATAAACTCAGTTTTCACAGATTATCTAATTTTTAAAGAAGGTATTCAGCTCGGGTATTTAATATTGTGTTAACCTCTTATAAGCAGTGCTGTAAATGTTTACTTTTTTCATTATTATTATGTTTAGTAAAATTTTAAAGCCTAACCTCAACGTTACGGAATAGGATGCACGGAGATGGGACTTGGAACAAGAAAGAGAGGAGAAATAGTTACGTAACAAAATTATTTGGGATTAGAAGAAAGGTGAGTTTTACTTGTCTACTTGATGTTGGTGAGATGGTTAGTGTTAGTGAACTTACAAGAAACTAAGTCATCGCTGGTTGAAACCGTTGCCACATTTGATAAATGTCCGCAAAGTTTGCGACAGTCTACCAAGCAAAGTTGAGAACGTTTGGGAATTCGATTAAGTTCGCCTGAGGTAACGGCGTCGTTAGGGACATACTGGAATCGATTAATTTCTATTGGTAAGTTCGTAGTAAACACTGCGTTATAAAGCTTCCTTAAATATAGCACTGTTTCAGTTTTCTAATAGATCGATTATTTACTTTTAGGTATTACTTCTTATCATTAATGAAGCCCACCGTAATAACCTTCTTGAACTTCAAGAGCTGGATAGCAATACTTCTATTTTTTTGTATGTCCTATTGATAGTAATAAATTTTTTTTAAAATCGAAAACGACGTGATCAAACATCATGCATGCATGCTACGAATTATGGTGAATAAGAGTTTAATTCTGACTTATTTAAAAATTATCGTTAGGTTACATCGTCTGTTAACTGCCATATTGGAGCAATTACGAAGATCGATTTAAACCAATCGAAGACAACCAAAGTCTCAAATGAGAACTATTTTATCTGCACGAGTGGTGGAAGCTTATTTTAAATCATTGCTTGTAGACTGCCATAAACGCTTCAAGTTCGCGGGACATCATTGCCGTATTACCTATGTATGTATAAAGCAGACCCTACACGGTAATTCATGAATGAACGTCACAAGAAGTTCCAAGATTGCCCGCTATTGCTTTGATCATGAAGAGCTTACACGTTCAATCATTACTTATGTGAAGTTTCCACTTTTTTTTCTCTCCAATTTATTGCCTACTTGACTATTTAAAGAAAAAATAGTTGAAAATGGTTAATAATAATATAGACTAGGGATATAAACAACTATTTACTTTTATGAAATTATTTACTTTAACAAGACCTAGGTAAACTAACTTATCTAGTAGTAAGGTTAGACTCATATCGTTTTGACAAAAGTTAGTAAAATATAAGTCTACTACTTACAAAAATTAAGGAAAGGTATTGCGAAAATAATAAATTTGTTGAGGAAAATGAGAAAAGAACTGATAAATATACACAACGTTAAAGTTTTTTTTTCCTAAAGTAAATTGTGAAGTTCCCTCATTTTTTTTTTAAATTTGTTGCCCACTTGACTATTTATAAGAAATAGTTGAAGATGGTTTTAAATTATAAACAAGGGATATGAAAAATTATTTAACTATTAACATATAATGAAAATCAGAAATGTATAATGGTTGTGAGGCCTAGGTAACCTAACCTATCCAGCAGTATGGTTAGTCTCCCCACTACTTTTACCTCAGTCCCCCCTCCACTTCTCGTGAATGAACCTTTGATTTCCGGATGTTCGGAAATCCGCAGCGCACCTCCATCAGTACTTCATTCACTACCTTATACGACGATTCGGAACGTCATTAGTGCAATTCCGATTGACCGTGTAGGGTCCCCTTAAGGGTGTCAGACGTTTCAATGTTAGTTCTGGTCATATGTCGATCAGCTATGAATATGAAATTACTTTTTATTACTGTGTTTTCGTTCATTTGGTGGTATTGATACGATTATATTCCCAGTCTTTCAAAAAATGTAAACTCTTTCATGTCGGTTAGATAAATTTTAGTTTTATGTTATTATTATTATTATCTAGAGCATAGGCGCCAATTTATTAAAATTATTGGGGGGAGGGGCGTTGATATAAAACTATAGGGGTAGAGAGCCTGGAAGGCTAAAGATATTATTTAAAATATATCCTATATACCTTTACGCAATACATAATATATTCCTATATGAAAAATCACCATCTAAGGCATATATTGAGTTGTTTCAAGTCATTTCGTAAAGGCAAAAAAGTGTTGTTACACTTTAAATTAAAACAATACAGTATTTTAATAGATGATTTCTTTTACTGTTTAGGTTAGTTTATGAACCCAAAATAAGACAACGCTAAACAAATTCTACTATACCTGCTAGTAGATATATACAGTCCTTTCTAATGGAATTGTAATGTAGCAATTTGTTCATGAGGCTGAGCCCTCCACGGCAGCATTGGAGGATGAGTCTCAAGCCCCGCGAGGCGATCTACAGGCGATACGGTTAGAAATAATATTCTGAAAGTTTGATCAAAAGTGTAAGGGAAAATTTATATTAAATAATATAACATAGTTATCTGATGATTTATTTGTTTTTTCAACTTATAACAATTTTAAATGTGCTATCTAAAATAATAAATAAACATAAAAAAACCTGTGACACTACAACCCATGAAGGGTCTTGGATTCAGTACTATTTAGGAAAAGCACTGTTTCTAGGTCAACGGTTGTGCAAGGAGGTGATTTGACCGAGATCACGCTCAACCGCCAGGTTTTCCCCCTAAGTCAATTATTTAATTAAGAGCACCCACTTTATAGAGGCTGAGTGTGACCCAGGAGGGTCTCCCGACCCAGTGTCGCCCTACTGCTAATGAAACAGATAAATAAATTTTCTGCCATGAGCCGGTATTCAAACCTGGGACCTTTAGCGTTGGAAGCTCAGTACCCTACCATTGAACTACCCCACTCCCTTATAATCTTATATATAATCTTATATATATAATCTTTAAGTTATCCGAAATCCTTTTATTCGTTATTCGAGTTTTTCAAATAAACATTGGAATAATGAAATTTTAAACATCTTTTAAGTAATGGGTGATCGTTTTTTCATGGTTCAAAAGTATTTTTGGCAAATTAGAAGTTGTCTTAAAAAAACAACGGTGTGATATTGTTTCCTACTTTGCCTCGATTTCTCCTCCTTCATTTCATTAATAAGTTGTCGGTTGTCACAATTTAAGCAATTTTACGAATGTTTAAAGTTTGGCTGAACAAAAACAAAATTCTGAACATTTTCTGAATTTTCATTCATTTTTCCTATTTTTTCTGTATGATCGGTTTTTCACTGTCCTAAATATTTTCCAATTTAAAGGAACTCTAAAAATGGGGAAAAAAGTGCAATAATTTTCGTATTTTCATTTGTTTGTTTGTTGCTGTTTATTTCGTTAACTGTGATCGGTTTTTAATGTTAAAACTTTTTTTCACCTAATTAGAGTTTAGCTAATATAACAAATGGTGTAAACTATTTTTCCGAATTTTCAATTACTTTGCTTCTTTTGTTCCGTACATGGTTAATCAATTTTTCTCAGTTCAAACTATTTTTCGGTTATTCAGAGGTAGCCTAAAAGGAAAGATTTTTTTCCGAATTTTAATTCACTTGTCTTATTTTATTTCATTAACAGGTAATCAGTTTTCACTATTTGAGCAATTTTCCAGTTGTTTAGAATCATACTAAAAGGAAAAATTTGTTAATTTTTTAAAAATTTAATTTGTTTTTATTCTTTTATTTCTTGAACGGGTGATCAATTGTTTTTTTAAAGTCGAATAAATTAGAAGAGTAATAAATGATAGCCTATAAAAAAAATAAATACCTCTAATAATCTATTACCAACATCATAATTTCTTAAACAAATATTCATTTCAAGAGCAATAAAGAATTTTTTAAATATTATTTTTGGTGAATTTAAATTATTATAATTTTTAATACAGATCTTGCAATACCCCCCGACGTTTTAAGCATCAAACTAATTAATGTAGATCAATTAATATCACCACAGAGCTTTGATTTTTGTAATACCGTATTTATTACGATTTAATTTAGACATTTAAATCTATTATTATTATTATTTTCCTTTCAAGCTCCTCAGAATGGTATGTATTAAACTTTATTGAGTTTAAAATAATTCATGAACGCCTTCCCTTAAACGTAATTACGTTTATTACCGATAATTACTTAATCCTTCAATAAAAAATAAGTGATGACTAGCGAACCATTAACTAAATTACGCAAGTATCAATTACAAGACTGAATATAATAAAGTTGATATTTTCTGAAATGTTCTGTAGAGCACTCAACTCTAATTAAAAAGGTTTACTTTCACTTTCTTTTAATGATCTAAAGTGTTACTATACAACGTTTGCGTTGAAATTTATTTCAATACCCACTCTTCATCTTTAAACAGGAACACGCTGTATTCATAATCCAATTAAGATACCTTTCAATTGTTACCACTTTTTTAAAAATTTATTTTAATCAAAGATTAAAATATTTTCAACGATTAACAAAGAATAAAAACACAATTCTTAACATCCTGTGTATCTTTTTGTCAAGACAGGACAAAGCACTTTTTCAATAAAATATGTTTTGATTAAATGAAAGAAATACTTTATAAAATAACCCAAATCACAGAGGCTTGTAAGCCATTCGACTCCAAGAACCCGGGTAAAGTGGATCAACGAAATTGTGTGATTTTTAACAAACATATTTTTGGATGTGGCAAATATAGAAGAAAGAAAAAAAATGAAAATAATCGTGATGCAATACCTGGCATCTGTGTAAATAATTCTTTCTTTTTTTATCAAATTCTTTATACTTTTTTTCTAATTTTAACTTCTGTGAAGTTTAAATCTTCTAAAGATTGAAGCACTGAAAAACTTATTTTCTGCCCATTCTGGTCTATTTACCATCACAACCTTTTCAATATTTCTCTCAAAAAAACATACGAATACGAAAAAATAATGTTACTATGAAAAAAGAAATGAATATTGGGTTGATAGACACATTTACCCTTCGTCGTAAACCTATGAATTCCTGTCCTACAGTAACTTTTAATAATACCCCACTTATCTCTGTTGAACAAATCGGATACCTTGGACTCCACTTGGACAAACGTCTAACTTGGAATCCTTATACTAGACTGAAACGACAAGGAATCGCTCGACGTTTCCTACTACTCCAGCCCATACTTGACAAACGCACTAAGCTTTTAGTTAATCACAAAAGATTCATGTACTTGACTACAATAACACCTATTTGGAGTTACGGAGTTGAGATTTAGGACTCCACAAAGTCATCAAAT